CTCGGAGCCGGGCGGCGAGGGCCCCGCTGCTCCGGAGGGGGGGTGCGGCGGGGCCGGCCGGGCCTCGGCGCGGGCTGGGGCTGGGAGGATAAGGGGGTTTGTGTGCAGGGGAAGGCCCCCAGGGGTTCAGCGGGCTGGCTGGCGTGCTCGGCTTCAGCTGGCAGAGAAACGCGCTGATTGCAAGCTCGGATGTGCCCAGAGGGTGCGTCGGGCGGCGAGGGCCCCGCTGCTCCGGAGGGGGGGTGCGGCGGGGCCGGCCGGGCCTCGGCGCGGGCTGGGGCTGGGAGGATAAGGGGGTTTGTGTGCAGGGGAAGGCCCCCAGGGGTTCAGCGGGCTGGCTGGCGTGCTCGGCTTCAGCTGGCAGAGAAACGCGCTGATTGCAAGCTCGGATGTGCCCAGAGGGTGCGTGCTGCGGCTGGGGAATTAGTGACAGGTGACCCTGGGCCAAGAGCTCTCGGCTGGCTGTCTTTTCAACGCTCCTTAAGCGCCATTCTGACGGCGTTTGTTGGTTCTGTTACTTTTAACTCGTAGGTCTCTCTGCTGTCTTGCCTCTTTTCTTCTTTTAAAAGAAGAAAAACCCAACTAACTCTAAAGAAGAAAAACTTAGGAATGCGGCTGTGCCACAAACGCCTTTAGGTGTTTTATACAAATTGTGGGTAATTGAATACACTTTTGTGTGGTTGACTAGTCATTTTCAAACCTAAAGAAAAACATTCTTGTGAATTGCATGGAGTATCAGTTGTTTGCGAAGAATTGCTCTTTTGTGTTTATTTGAACTTAATAAAATATTTTGGTTTATTTTGTGTATAGTTCCAGAGCGTGCCTTTGCATGGCCTAAGGTGAACGGAGACTACTGTGTAGTGGGGTTTGATTTTTTCTGCTTCAATGTGAATAATTTTGCAGGTTACTTTGTGCTCTTTCAAAATGAATGGTGAAGAGGAAATATGGGAAAAACTGGATGCAGAATTTGATCATTGTGTGGTGGATATGAAGCCTCATGTTCTAAAACTACGGTGTAGGTCAGGTAAATATGGTAAAATGTGCATAAAGAGAAATGCTAATAACAAAATTCCAGGTTTCTGATAATTATTGTTGTACTTGTATCACTTTCTTTAACCAGACACCTAATGTCTGATGTTTTGAGGGGGTTTCGACATCTTCTGAAGGTGGATTGTTTAGGTACACATCGCTGTTCTTTGAGCTTATCTGTCTTCTCTTGGTGATGTAAATGTGCTTTTGCATAAATACATTAATGTCTCTATTATTAAAAAAATAATTCAGTAGAAACTAAAAGCTTCTCGAAGGCATTGTTGTGGAGATTGCACTTACGAAACTCTAAATATTTTTTAGAGATAAGGTTTTTAAAATTTGGCTTAGGAATGTATAATAATATAAACAATAAATGATGTGTTATAAATCTAATTATTAGAACAAACCGGTTATTAAAGGCATGAACCCCACAAATTAAGACCTTGCTTTGTAAATGTTTAGTCAAATGAATAATTTCATCGTCAGGTAGCAAGGCTGTGTAAATAGAGATTTTTAAAATGAATGAAGAGTTATTGTGTACTTAAAATATTAACAAGCCGTATGTTGTAGTTAGTGGCAGCTCTTGCAGTGAGTTCAGAATTCCTGGTGATTTGCGTGTTCTGTACTTATTAGAGATTGATTCCGAACGTGCCATTTCTAGAAGTCATGTGAACTTCTGGTAAACATGAATTTATTGAAAATTATTTCTAATTGATGTGGCTTTGAACTATTATTAAAGACTTCTTTTTAATGTAGGTATTTAGCCATTTTTTTTCCTTTGGTTCAGTCATTTGGGATTTTTTGTTTGTTTTGCTTTAAACTTTTGGATGGAAGGGAAACGCCTATAAAATTGGTGACCAGTAATGGCTTCTGTTTTTTCTATGTGTTTGATTTGCTCTAAAAATGTATAGTAATTCTGTATATCTATATTTTTAGAACGACAAAGATGTGCACTGTGGATTAAGAAACTGTGCGAACCCTCAGGAGCAGGCACAGGAATAGTAGGAAGGAAGAATCGGAACCTGTATGCAAAGCTTTTGCTCCACATGCTAAAGCGAGGTGTGCTGGAAGGTCCTTTTACACATAAACCAGAACCAGGAATACTGAAAACTTTGCCTTCATACATGGTGGGTGCAACTTCTTTATAAGACAAATTTGCTTAAATATACTCTGAAAATACTTTTAAGTCTTATGGGCGTAAATGGGAAAAATTCTGAAGGAATTGAGTGGAATTGCACGAGGTAGATCCAAGCATTTATGTTGCATGTCTTGTAACTGGTGTTGGAAAAAGCTTTCAGTGTGCAAAACCTTTTGAGACCTGTTTCTTCTTCAAAATTCAGGTTCCAAGAGGGTTTATAAAAATAGGTGTTCGGAAGGAACAGAAAGATAATTTTGTCCAATTGTTTGGAAAGATGTAATAGAAGACTCTTGAGGCTATACTTTGTCTTAATCGGCAGATAGTTCTTGTGAAAGGAAAAATGGGCTTCAGTGAGGTGAGTTTAGTAGCCTGAGGTGACTGCGGTAGTCTGTCTTTTTATGAAAGAAGAGATAACAGTATTTCACCTAGATATTGTGAAGCTTGCCTGAAGACCTGAATATACTGTGTCAATCATTGGCATCAGCTTTAGTGAGATAACAGTTCTAATTTATGCTAAAATTACCCATACTGAAAGAACTAAAGTACTGGAAAACATTTACACTATTGCCTGTTGTACTAATTTCCATGGATTGGGAAGGTAATATTTGCACACCTCTCTGAATTCATTGAAAAAGAATTTTTATACTGCAGATATTCCTGCAAGAAATGACATGAATGGTGTAAAGAATATATTTGTGTAAATGTATTCTAGTGTTGATTTTGCATTTATTTTAATTATAGTCAATTTATTTTGATGAACCAAATTCTACAAGAGTTCGGAGTAGTAGCCCAGACTGCTTACCTGACTGGGTAATGGGAGAACTAGGAAATGGTGAATCTAAGCATGAGGAGGTGTGGAAGATGTCTTCTAAAGAGGGATCAGCTTTAGCAACACCAGTCACATATGGGTAAGATTCCTGTATTTGCTTTATTCAGTATTTGATTCTTATATATATATATATGAATATATGCATTCATCTATGTTTGATTTGATAATCTCTGTCTGTGAATTTCCATTTGTATGTGTGAATTTATTACACTCCCTCATGGGCTCATCTTGAATATAGTGTTTGTACTTTATATAGAGAAACAACTCTGGTAATAGCTTCTAACTTAATGATAACTTCTATACTTTTCTGTTATTATATTCCTCCATTATGTCTTATTCTGTCTTCTGTAAGCCTTCTTCCATGTCCCATAGCTCTACCCTCTTTTTTTTCTCTTGTTCTCCTTCCCATTTCAGTTACAGACACTTAGCATGGAAAATCAACAGGCCAAACTGATAGTTTGAGAAATCCAGCAGCAACTGAAGAGAGGGCTTTGTAGTGGTTTGGACTGGGTTACTGTGGGCTACTCGTGACTTGCATGGAGAGCCTATTTGCTAATGTAGAAATAGTCATGGTCCACTTTTTTGCACCATTATCTCTCTTCATGTTGATACTCTCTGTAGACTGGGTAACATGCTCTGTAGACTTCAGAAGTAGATAACAGCTGCTCTTCTGACATTCTAAATACCTTATCAAACAAGCTGGTATGCTAGTTATGTTTTTCAAACCTCAGATATGGAGGCAAATCACAGTGGTCACAAGGCAAGAGACAGAATTCATACAAAGTTACTTAACTAGGAGAGGGAAGCACAAACAAGTGTGGACAGGCAGTAAGGAGGAAGTGATGTGGTAAAAGACTATAGATGCAGAAGATGCTCAGTCCAGATTTTTCTTAAAATAGATCAAACCAGTTACTGTCCCCGTGAAGTTCTTGTGCAGTTCTGTTTTCTTCACGCTGATGAATAGAAACTGGAAAGTGGTATTAACTAATAAAGCTCAGGTGGGTTAATCTTCTCTATTTCTATACAGTTCAAAATAAAAGGAATGTACAGTAAGCAAGTGACAAAAAATGTGGATAGAGTAAACATATAATATTGGAAAAAAAAAAGTTGTAGTCTAAGGTCATAATGCTGAAAGGAGCTTTTGTATCAAATAGTTTTTAATGGCTTTTTTTTTTTCCTATAGAGAATAGAAATACAAATATAAACAAGCATGGAGATGGTAGATTTAAAGGATGTTCTATTATTGTTGCTCACAGGTTATTTTAGAGGAAACAGAATAATGGCTCCCTGCAGATAAGCAAGTTTCGCTGCTCTGGGATAAAGGAAGAAAAGTTAGATGCATACAAAGAAAGAGGGATTTGATCCATCTTTTTGCGAGCATTTTAGTTCTTGTTAAACACTTCCCTGTTTGTCTTGTGTTTCATCATGGCTTCTTTATGAAATAGCAAGGTTTCCTCATATTCTCTGTAAGCTTCATGAATCTTCAATTACAGAAGGTCAGACTGGACCAGCTACACTTGTTAAAAGTTCGGAGGCTGAAAATCAGAGCTGCTGCCTGTGGGATACTCTGCTCTTCTGTGCGGGGAGGGTTGATTGCAATGACTCCATCCTGGTCTGAACAATCTCTCTGAGTTTGATTTAAGTGTTTTGGTGTATATCGTGCCATCTGCTACAAATACAGGTGCTTTGTTGGTGACTAGGACCCCCTCTGCCTAGATCCCGGATGTTTGTCGTTAGGATAATGCAAAAAATTCAGTATTGCTCCCTTGCAGCTGTACAGCCAAATCCTGCATATCTGTAGCTGCACCTTGTTATGCCAATCTGTTGGATGGTCTCTTTTTGTAGGTTTGCAGGAGCCAGTAGCTAAGCTGTATCCTCAGTTCCAATTGGTTGGGTACAGAGCTGTTTACAGGGCAGGGTAAAGGATGACATGTATCAGGTTATTAAGGTTTGTTTTCCTGTTGGCTTAGAAAAATATCCCTGCAGTATTGAAAGGGTGCCAAGCCGGTCAGTTGGATGCTATTGAAAATCTTAGGCTTTTTTTTCCTGTCCTATTTTGTGGGAATCTTAGGTAAATTTGAGTTTAATCTACATTCTGTTCTGAAGTATTTACTTTCTTTCTAGTTTTTCCTATGCAGTGCAACTGTGTGCCCATTATTGAGATCTATGTTCCATTTTTTTGTGTGGCTACATTTCAGTCATGGATGGAATTACTTCTTGTTTGCTCGTTTTGAAGTTTAGTTAGTGTTTAAACTCTGCAATCCGTAGTGAAAAAAGCACTTTAAGAGGTAGAGTGTGAACTAGTATTTGAAACTCCGTGGGCTCTGTACAAGAGGAAGTAAGTTTTCATTTCTATATGAAACTTCTGGTTTTGTTTCATTGCATTATAAACATGCTCACAGGTTGTGTTTCAGAAGTCTAATGCTTTTTTGTGTTCGCTTGTATTTTTCATAAGTGGTTATAATTAGCTGTTTAACTTTTTCGGCACACTGGTGTTTATGCTATATATCACAGTGCCGTCTTGCATTTTTTAATTTTTCAGCTGCGGTTGGATAGCTGACAGTCACTCTTGCAAGTTACATCCCATTATACTGAGTATCATGAAACTTTTCCTCTACGTATCCATTAACTATGTGTAATTCTGACAGTCACTTAAAAAGTTGCTCTTAGGACTGAGGCATCTCTTCTTCTGGAGTTCTACAATGTTAATACTAAGGGGCCTTCTGGTTCCTTGCACTCAAATGCTCTGATATGAACCTGTGGTTTTGATAGCAGACTTGTGGTTTAAGAAACAAAGGTTGAGATGGAGAAATTGCCAGCTGTGTTACCATCTTACTGCTGTAGACTTCGTGATACAAAGAACTGTTGGGAAGAGCTGTCCAAATACCCTCAATTAAAAAAAATTAGGTTTGACCTTATGGAAACAAGGCATGTGTTATGCTTTAGAAATGCTTTTTGAGACCTCAGCTAAACCTGCATTAGATAGAGTTTGCTGTGTCAAGATACCCAGCATGGATTTGATTGGATTGTCTTGGTCACTGGGATTAGCACATCATGATAAAGGGTGTTAGAAGGAATACAGCAATATCAGCACAACTCTCCCCTGTTAGGTCCAATCTCTCTCTACGAGGCTGTGTTTGTGGCATGAAAATACACAGAGTTCTTCCAAATTCCTCACTTGTACTGTCAGCTGGGGTGTTATTTCAGTGGGATGAGGCAGCGTATTCCTCCCTCTGCATCCAACTCGTGCTTGTCTCAATTTGAGGGAGGCTGAGGTACAGTTCTGCCTGCTCCATCCCTTGTATTCTTTGCAATTTTTTTGTCTCTCTTCACTACTTGGATTATAGTGGAATATTGGAAATCTGACCCCTTTTCCCATTCAGTATCTGAACCTAAGATTCAGCTTGCTCTGCCAAAGTTCTCCAAGCTGTGGGTGGGGTAGCGGAGCTTTATTTCATTTACTTTTTCTTTTTTGTCCTGTGGGACTGTAGCAATACCTACATTGGTGATCATCATCCGGCTCCTAATGTTCTGGAGAGTTCTCTGGAGAACTGTATCGAAATATATACTATTTCATGTGAGGAGAAGCAAGTAGGTGTGAAGGAATAAGTTACTGGCTTAAGGAAACCTGGAAGTGAAACTTAGCTGTGTAGGCATGGCTCTGCTAATGGGTACTCATACCAGGGTTGGAGCTGTGTCTAAGGAAATCTGCATTTGTGTTGGCCATTAGAAATGTTGATAGCTCTGTAGCGATCTGTTGAGTGAGCTATCAGTGCAAGTAAAGATGTAAAGTATTAATTTTCTGCACTCTGCAGTTTGCAGGGGGAGCCAGCAGATGGTGATCTTGTTCCATTAGACTTGTCTCTCTGAATGTGGTGTGAAAGCTGTATCCGTAGACATGCAGAATGTGTAGCTGGACAAAAATTTTGCATTCCAACCGTGACTCAGTTCTTACTGATAGACTGCAATATTTTTTCAGAGCAAAATAGATAATGTCAGTGAGAAATGTTCGAGTAATTTTTTGAGATTTTTTTTTTAATCTTAACATTCCCTTCTTTAAAAGAAGCAAAGAAGTGGAGAAGTTCTTTTCATAGTTACTTTTGTCTTGCAATACACATACTTCTATGTGTGAAGATTTTGGCTTTTCTACAAGAAGTTGTTTATCTGGCTAAATAAAAAGTAGGTAGACAAACCTTACTTGCAAACTAGGGTGTAAATGAATGAGACCAAGCCAGCTGGTGCTAGAAAGGTACATCTTTATGTATGAGAGAATTAGTTTTAGGAATGTGTAGTTTGGTTTGAACAGAAAGCTGGTATTTCTGACCCCAAAGGAAAATTCTGCTTTAAATTTATATATTTTGGCTGAAAAACATTGTTAAAGGTTAGTGAATAGCTGTGCTGTACCAGGAGGAACCAGTGAGTCTCACTTACTTTGTACCTAGTAGGAAATTATTTACTAATCTCCTTTATTAGCAGCAAATTGCTTCCTTCTCCCTTGCTAGCTTGCTGTTTTGGCTGAAGCAGGAGGTCACAGGGCTGGTGACAAGACCCTTGACTGTTCTCCACTCACCTGCCATGGGAGGAAGAAGAAATAATCTTGTGATTTCTGGAACCTGACTTATATTAGCAGAAGACTGGAAAAGGGCGTGAACGGGTAGTGTATGCTTGATACGCGCAAAACTGTGGTCCAGCCTTAACTATCTTTTCAAATGCTGTTTATAGAATCAAGTAAAGCAGCTTCCTTTTCAGTTCCTCTTCAGAATAGCAAACGTAGAATGAAGAATACATCTAGACTTTATTTCCCCAGTTTGTCAATTTAAAAATATGACAGGTAACTTGAGATGATTTGAATATTTATTGATATTCCTTAATCTCCTAATGATAGAGGCATGACTTCTGTTTTCTCTCATTTTAAACAATCGGAACTTTATTGAATTGTTAGGTGACTTGAGTATTGTTCAGAAAAGAAGTCTGATAAAAGTGCAGATTTATTGACAGTCAAAGATTTGTCTCATTTTTAATGAAAACTAATTTTATGCCAAATGAAATCTTGGTAAGAAATGCACGATTTGAAGTGCTAGAGACAGTCATTGATTTATTATATGTATTTTGATCTTTTTTTACCTCTAAGACTGATTATCTAAACTGTTTACCTCTTTGTAATTGTTATTTTGCGTCCATATGTGTTGCCGGTGTTTGTCAGTGCTGGGAGGGAAGGTGTGCTCCCAGTTGGTATGTTTCAGTGTCCCCTGCTGGTTTGATAAAAGCTGGGGTGATGTGCCTCATGAAAAGTTTGTCTGGGTTTGTCTTCCTAGTCCTAGAAGCGACTAGTTCACATCGTACATCCAACAGTTGTCTTTCTGTTCATAAACACTTAATTCATCTCATCTTTTGGCATAATGTACTGTCTAATTTGCTGCCGGGTGGAAAGAATGAAAGGTATTTTAATGGTCTGACTTGATTTTAATGCGCTATAGCTAGTTGTCGGAAGGTGAATGGACTCGCAGGAGTTTCTGATTAATTTAGTATGCGTGGGTTTGACATTGGAGTATATCCTAAAGGGTGCTTCACTACTGTTTTAGGTCTTTTGCTATATCAACCTATCTAATAAACTCTTACAACTTCTGCTTTGTTCCAGGCTGTTCTTTTCTTTCGCTGTGTTCTATACTTGAGGAAGGTCGGTTGACCAGGTGCATCAGTGGAAGTTATCTTCACCTGTCTGCTATTCTTAATTTCCTTTTGTTCAAGGGCTTTATTTATGACAAAAGCTTTTCCAGAAAATCTCTGTCCATTTTCTTTCTCTGCTGGGCAGAGTACTTGCTCATGCCTGTATCCTGCCCTGCGGGCCTTTCTTTACCATCCCCCCATATATATACATACCACTTCAGTCCATAAAATAGAGCTGACATGAAATGCAACTAATACGATCTTTGACTCATTTCTTTGGTGTGTTACTCTTCACCCTGGCCTGGCAAGTCTTTGCTTTTCTCTTGAGCTGTATGTGTCGTTCTTGCCCTTGTCTCCAGGTTTGTATGTTATCTGAAGGTAGACCTTGATCTAACCCCCTATTGTTTTGGTCTGAAAAGTCTTCTCCCCTATGGTGTGGACAGCCATCACCTTAATTCCTTTTGCTTGAGTTGCTGGACCTTATCCTGTGCTGCCTCCTATGCTTAGCAATTTTGTTTCAAAAATGTTCTCCTAGATCAGCCTTCTCTGTTAAGGTGGGTTTCTTCTAAAATCTGTTGGGAGATGTTGCATCATGTAGTAACAGAAATGCAAAGAACACATTTTAATATACTGTGATGTATGTGATTTCTGGTGATTTTGTTGGTGTGGGGGCTTTTGGGTGTTGGTTTTTTTTTTTTAAAGGAATGCTTAAGGTTATTGCTTGCCTTTAACAAAAAATTATATTTTTTTTTATTCTACTATGTTTGAGCTTTACATCTTGACAGATATTTTTCTCTTGTATGTTTTTAAATATTTTAAGATTAGCGTCCTTTGTGTGCCACAAGTTATTGAAAAAACAATTTTTCTCTTTTTATTTATAACAGGGAAAGATTCAAGTACCATGAGAAGCCAACATTAAGATCACATTCTATGAGTCCTCACCAGACAGATGAAGATAACCTAGCCACACCACTGTCTGTAAGATGCTTCTCCTTTTTGTCATAAAACTTGCTCTAGTTTCAATGAATTGTTTTTGTATGTCCCCATAAAGCTGTTGTTTCTAATTGCGTGAGTCATGATCCCTGTGTATAAGTGCAGGTGTTTGGGAAGGAGCGATAGGAAGGACTAAGGCTAATCAAAATCTGCCTTCTGCAAGTGCAGGGGAAAATAATTTCTTGTCAGATGCTCTCAATTCATCCTAATGGTTGTCCTCATTTTAGTGTAGTGTGGTTAATGTCTGCTGTGGTGTTTTCCCTGGGCTTGGCAAGCTGGGGGTATTGACATCATCTTGTACTTTGCGATAGTAGATTAAAGAAAGCTGGGTGGATGTCTTTGGCTCTGTGTGATGATGCTTGACCTCTGAAAGAGTGAATTCTGGACGGTTTATCAAACTTTGCACAACGAGTGCTATGGCTGATGGAAGGACCCTAAACAGCCTTCATGTAAAACCCTTTTAGTCCAAAATATTTAATGATATTGTATATATAATTGCAAGCATTTAAACTGAAAATTACTCCTGGCAGATATGTTGCCAAAAAGTGTGTTGTTTTCCTTTGTGGTTGTGTTCTGTAGCCCTGTAGTGTCCAGTCTTCCTTACTGGAGAGATCTGTACTGTGTGGTTCTGTCCCCATAGCCAGTGCGTCTGTAATAGTTCTCATTCCTCCGTGAAACACTGCATTTGCTGCATGTATGTTGCAGGTCTGCCCACACTTATTTATGATTGTGTCAGAGGAGCAGATTAGACAGATTGCAGCTGGAAAGGGGCTGTTGACACCTGAGCAATTCATATAGACTGTTCTTACCCTTCTTTATTGGGCACAATGAAGAACTTGTGAGGACATGAAGTGCAAGTAGGATAAACTGGAAGCTTTCTTCTGGGGTCTGTGAGGAAATTTGTGTCTGCTCTGCACTTGGACTAGAGGAATAGCAAGGGGATGCTTTATCATGGCAGGCTACAAATGATCTGTGGGCAAAAATTGAATGTCTTTGCTGTAGGCTCTGGTTGGTATGAATGTACTTGTGTGTGTTGATTGTATTTATGCAAATGTAATTTAAAAAAGAAATGCCAGAATTAAAAATAAAAAATAAAAAGAGATGCTGGATTTACTAAATTTCTCCGTATTGGTTTCCTGTTTGTTTTTACTTGACTTAAAGAAATATTTCTGATGGAACAGTTATTGTAAAGAAAAGGACTTCCTTCAGTTGAAACCTGGATTTGGGGCTTTAAAGTTTGTTCATTTTTTTGTTGTTGTTGTGTTTTTGGTTTTTGGTTTTTTTCCTGTTCCTGGCTCTGCCACAGGCTTCCAGGGCAATGTTAGACAAATCACTGCACTTCATTGTTCTTCAGCTCCATATACTGGATTCTACTGTGATTACAGCTTTAAAAGGGCCTTTAAGTGAAATAATTCTCTCTCTTGCTTTGCCAAACAGTTTGATGAACGTTTGGCTGGCTGGAACAAATAGTATCTTGTTCTGTTGTCAGTGACGCACAGATGCTCTGGCATGGTTCAGGCCCAGGTAGAGGAACAGGGAGTCTTTTAAGAAACATTAAGAACTTCCTCAGCCAAGTGTTGATTAACTGAAGTCAAAGCTGTTACATTTGTAATGAACAAGCAGATTTACAAAAGAGGTGCTTGCATGCCAATACACAAACATCTTGCTGACAAAACTTAATGAGACAAAGTAATTCATGCTTCAACGTTCTGTTTTCGTAGATAGTGTTATGTCTCAGTTAAGGAAAATCTTCTGTACCATCTCCCCTATTTGTTACTTTAAATACAATGGGTAGTTACTGTTACCCTCATGGAAAAACTTTCTTCCAAAAAATGGAGCCTTGAGCAGCAATAACTACTGTCCTTGCTGAACGTTGGAAACTCTTTCTGCAAAGACGACCCCTAGCCTTGAGCCAGGCAGCAGCTAACTCTGCCCACTATAACTATCCCTGCCTTGCTGTGGTTTCCTTTAATTCTTTTTAAAATTTTATTTGGGGGCTGATCAGGTGATCTCTGAATTCTGTATTAGCCCCACAAAAGGTGCTATGAAGATGGATCATTTTTAGAGTGTGTTGCCTGAAGAATGGAGTGTTTTGGTATTTGTTTAGTAAACACAGCTTTTGTAAAGGAGGCCGTTGCTCTGGAAATAAGTAAAATAAAGAAAAACATTAAAGTGAGGAGGGAGGCTAATTTATCCTCCAAATTCCTTTCTTAGCATGGTATCCTATTGGTAACTGAGCTATTTAGATTAAAGCTGTCAGAGGTATCATGACACTATTAGGAAGTGCAGTGTTGGCATGGCCAAGTCAATGAGAAGCGTTTTTTTTTTTCTTTTAAACTATGTATCTGCCAGCTCTTCTGATATTTTATTTGACTTTTTTGTGTTCCAGGACCATCGTCATAAAAAAACCTTTTCTTTGGATGACAGTGACCTCGAAGCACGTCTCAATAGTTGGAATCTTGGGGTAAAATAAACAGAGTACATTATTTATTGACTTGAGATGAGAACTCCTTAGTAATGTAGTCTGCATCTCTGAATTTAGTCAACAAAACTTTATGTAGGAATCAGTCTTTTAGAAATGAATTGGTAAAGCTTGGAAAGGTGAATTATGAATACATATCATCCTGAGAAGAAAATGTTAAAATGCCTTATTTTTAAGCAATAATAATCTTACTGTATTTAATACAGTTACTGATAAATCAAGCAAAATATTAGTACCTGCTGGTCAAAACCAGGTGTCTTACGCTCTTAGAGTTCAGACTGTTTCTTGATAACTCCATAACAAGGACAATTTCTAGCACTTCCAGACTTGGACAAATACATTTTTCAGGAATTGTAGTTTTGGAAGGTAGGGAGAGTGGATCTCCAGGAAGCTTTTCCATAGCAGACAACTCCAATTTGCAAGAGTTCTAGGCAGGTGCCTGAAACAAATATACAAGCAGTCACTTGCAGATTTTGGATATTTGGGCTGCATAAATACCTGGATTATATGAGCAGATAGTTGTAATACCTTGAGCTTTTAAAGCTGCTTTAAGGGGGAAACTTGCTCATGGCCGTTTTACAAATTGTTCCAATTGATGCTGACAAAGAATCTCTTTATATCCAGCATTTTTATATCAGTGTTGATCTGCCTGCTTGCTTATCTCTTTAATTTTATTTGTTTTTTATTTCTTTAATTGAAATTCCAGTTTGCAATCATGTTGTGTTGATAATGGATGGTTATTAAACTATGATGATCCTCCACTGATATGGAAGCTCTTTTGGATAAGAAATTGGCTACCGTGACACATAAATCAGTTTTTCAAGTCTCCTCTCCAGGGATGGTAATTAAACAAGTCGCTAGTGAGAGACTTTGATTGCCTGATAAGACTTGTTGGGAGTTACCTGACAAAGAGGATTTGAGGTTGTAAAAGGGAAGTCTGTAAGTGTTGCTGTTGAACAGTGTTCCTGTGCTATGGCTCACAGTCTCCAACGGGTTCTTAAAGGGTCTGGAAGTTTTAACAAGAGTTTCATACTTAAAGAATATGTAATTGTTAAAAATGAAAAAAAAAAAAAGCTACTAAATGATGACAGAATCCGTAAGGTTTGAGTGTAACATGTGACTGCTACTTTTTGTAAGCATTTACACTGGCATAGGAGCATCTAGTTATCTTTTAATTGCTAGCCATTTCTGCAGACAGCTTGAGAAACTTTAATTTATAAGTGATCCCACCTCAGATACAGAAGACCCTTGGCCCAAAAGAATACTTTAGTAGTGAGGGAAAGTTAGGAAAGGAGATACAGAATGGCTTTCACTTTGAACAGTTGTTTTTTAAAAGCTTTTCAAAGTTTCTTTTTTTTTTTTTGTTTTAGTTGTGTGTCAAGGCATAAATGGTGACTCAAGTTGCTAGTCTGGCAAAGAATGTGTGCTTCTGTACGTTTTCTTGCAATGATGGGGACAGAGCTGACCTGGGGAATATCAGAGAAGTCCTTATACAAGGATTTTTCTTAGTAAGAATCCTTGAAATATTAGTAAGCTATTCTTATTTCAGGCAAGTCTGTACGAAGAATATGCTGTTGTTAAGAATCTGCAAATACCTAGATAGGTGCGCTGCGTAAAGTTGAGAAAAGCTTAGCGCCTTCCAGCTGATTGCTGTTAAGCCTTTACTGTTCCAGTATAGGCTTGTCTGGATTATACTGACCAGTTATAAACTGTTAATTTATTTTTGCCCTTATCTTTTGGACTTCTACTTCTTTGATATATTCTGAATTTCCTCTTCTTCACAGGTCGTGTATTTTTAAGGTCACGTGCTGAATGTGTTTTCATTTTTTGATATGCTTACATCAGTGGCTGAGATTTTTTTTATTATTAAAAGTGTCATGAAAAGTTTTGGGGAATAATTTAATGATTTCTCTACTAAGCAGAGAGGTCAAAGCTTAACAGACTGTAATATGGAGGCTTCACATATTTGTTATTAGAAGTAATAACATTTTCTACCCAAAAAGTAAGACTTGCATTTCTTTGCTAATATTGTTGCTTCTCGTGAGTAATAAAATAACTTTTCCATTTGCCTTGCAGCATTCCTGATTATCTCTATCAAACATTCTGTTATTGACGTTCTCTAGATTCTAGTCATGCATGAGTAAATGTTTTAAAAAAAGAAAAGTTGAGTTTTGATTGTGATAAAGTTGCCTTTCATATATGGAATACTAATATAAGCTAATTCAAAATACATTATAAAAGTGTGTGTTTTCTTAGCCTTTATTGACTCTTATCTAAACTGATGCGGGGACTATCCTTTATTGAGTGTTCATGCCTTGAAGTTGCATTAGCAATGTAGAAAAGAAATCCTTTTGTATTGCTGTTTGAAGGGAAAAGTTTCAGAGCCAGGAGTTTAAACAAATGCAAGTAATCTTTGGTCATGTCGTTGCTTTGAACTTTCTTTGTCGTTCTTTAAAATGACATATATTTTAGAATATAATAAAAAACCCCTCAGCTATCATTTTAACAGCTGTCAATAAACTTGTACATTTTGTTGCAAATTTAGTACACTTCATAAACAGGACATCCTCACCTTCCCTTTAGTTATGTGTTAAAAACCAGTTAAATATTGTGAGATGCGTAGTGTCAGGAAAAGAACCTTGCTGGATGAGAGAATTAAACTTTTTTGTTTGTTTTCTTTTTTTCCTCTTGTAGTTGTTAAGCTTTTTAGACTCTAGGCAAATACATTTTTTTGATAGAAAATATAAGCTATGTGAAGAAACGATTATTAATTACAGCTCTGCATATTCTTACCTGACCTGCCTCTCTCTCTATATTTATTTCATGATGCTTCTGATACACCTTCATTTGTTAGTGAACTGTAGCCATTTTTAGGTGTGATAAAGCAACTCTTTTAAACATACCAGGAAATTCAGCACTTCATTTTAGGTAGAAAGCATACAAAGAGATTGTACCTTGGGGAAATAGCAAAGGGTTTTCTAATCGGGAAGAACGTTATTGCTCACCACTGGAATTCAGCCAGGACAAGAATTAACTCTTTAGCTTTTACCAGGAGTGATGTGGGATCTTCAGTACAAAGAACCTGGACGCTTGGGTCTTGCCCAGAAGAATTTGTCATGGGAAATGTTATTGCCTAATCAAGGTTTAAGAGGACTTAGACCAAAGAAACTCTGCAGTCAGTGGCTTGCATTATGTTTTCCTTTCTTGGAGAAATTATATGTAACACAGGGTTAAAGTAGATGCAAGCATAGAGAATTCTTGGGTGGCTACGGCAACAGTGTGTGTTATGCCTGTTTTGTGTACTTGGCTCACATCTGCCTGTGCCTTTCCAGTCTAGTTAAGCTCAACCATTTCTGTACAAACCATTTGATTATCTTTTGTTTGGTTTCTTAGTCTGTCTGCTTACTATAAACATACCTACTGTATATGGTGTGGCGTTGGAGGGCAGCAACACTGTAAAAACTTTCCCACAGTGAACTCCAAGTGGTGTTGTGACTTCAAAAAATAAATTCAACTTCCATGCTGACAAACAATCTTTATGTGCTTTAATGTCCTTCCACTAAGACTGCAGAAGCAGCATTAAAGTGAACTTCCCTACAAATTATGATGTTAGATAAGAATGTCCTTACTCAAATTTCCTGAAGCTACTCAGCAGTTATTTCTGTAGGGAACATGCTGGCTGGCTGGGTTGGTTAGATTAAAGTAAGAACTTAGGGCAAGGTTCAGTTTAGTTGTTTACCATTTCAAACTCTTAAGTGTTCTTAACTCGTTCATGTGTGTGTTTTCCATCCTTGTTTTGAAAACAATCACATTTTGTCTTTGAAGAAGCTTAAGGGGGAATGTGCAACAAGCCTGCTGATCCAAATGTGGGGTTTTTTTTTCCTGACTCTTAATATATACAACATCCCTTCTCACTGTTGCTGAACTGTAAGAAGCTGTGGTCGCGCATTATTGGAGAGAAGCGTCCCTCGATAAGCATCTTCCAAAGAACAAAATGTGACTTTGGAGGGGGTAGGATGGAAGCATAACGTTCATGTTGTCATTGTGGTATTTACTGTGTCAAAAGTGCAGAAGTTTTGCTGTAATTTTCTGGACTATGACAGATGTAAAACCTATGCACTGTTTTCACCTGAGGGATGAAATACAGTTGATGCCCTGAGGATGATTCTGGTGGAAGTACTTGGTGCTCAAAATTGTGCTTTTTCTGCACTGTCCTTGCTTTTGGGGGAAACCGTTTCAGCTCTGTTTACTTTTATCAGTGCTTCACTCATTGCTTGCATTGGTAGCTTTAGAATTGTATACTTCAAAAATGTTTAGTTTTGACTGCTGTAGGTGTTGTTAAAATAGAAATTGAAAATGCTGAAGGTGAAAGCTATGGCTAATTTGCCTCAAATTCAGTTTTGGAATCTGTTTTTATGCAGATTTCTGCCCTACCTTTTTCACCTTAGGAGAATAAGTATGTTTTCATAGAGTAGATTATTTCTGTTAAGTAATGGGGATCTGATTATCCAAAGCCTTCCCAGCTCTGGTTTATGAGGACTCCAGTACTAGAAGGTGACCATGCCAGTCTTCACAAATTGGAACATGATTTGTTGTCTGTTTGACTGCCTAATAGAACAGGAGAATCCAAAATCTTTTCTACAAAGAAATTCCAAATGCCATTTTTGTTAAGAAGTGGTATTTACAAATTAGAGTTCAATTCTAGTTCAAATAAAGATGTCTTTCATGATGACATTTATTTGGTTGATACTCTTAAAAAAGCATGTGATTTACTGTTCTTCTCATGGCAGTCCTTCAGCTTCATACATATGTATTTTGGTTTGTCTTTGACCTTTTGCTTATTATTTTTAAATTTGCATGTTTCTCATAAATACAAGCTTTTTTTCTTTTTTGGGCATTCTTTATTGTGATATTCTCTCTTTAATGTGGTATAATTTTGAGAACAAGAAGTTTTGCAGAAGACCAGCATGAAAAGAATGAATGTTGAGACATTAAATGTTTACAGATCAGTTTAAGTGGATATAATCCACAACAAGTAACAAAGTGGGAACATTTAACTTCAAAGCACATATGGCTGCTGTTACAAAATCAAAAAATGCAAGACTTAGGCCGTACAAGTATTAGAGGCACATTTTCCTTCTTTCTCATAAACAAGTAGGATATACCTTAGCTTTCTAGATTGGTTTTGAAATGAAGACTGTAAACAGCTTAATTTCATGGTCAGATCAAATATTTGAATTAATTGTAAATATTTACAATAATTTTGAGCTTTAGAAAAGCAAAAGTAAAGGGCGATTGTATTCAGTTCACATGAGAGAGAGGGCTTTTAGAAAATAATTAAGCCTTTGAAATTTGGTTCTGCAGCCTTAGCTTTCTCAGAATTCCACCAGGTATTGGTGAGGGCTCTCTGTTAGTGCTGCTCAGTTTTCTGGGGAGCCAGATCAGGGATCTACCTTGAACTTTTGGCAAGCTGCCTTCAGTCCTGGGTATCTGCACAGGGGGTGATTAGGCGTGTGGATGGATGGGGAAGTAGGCAAAATGAGCTAGAAGGAGCACTGTAATACTAGGAAAACCAGAGAATTGTAGATAGAAATTACTATTGCAGGTACAAACGTGTGGGACAAAATTCTACATTTTTCTGGTTTAGAATTTCTGTACTTTCTATTTCTGTCTCTCAATTTATCCATTCCCCCCCTCCCCCTCCCCGCCACTGTTACCCATCTGATGTGGTTAATGCTTCATTAGGTTCTCATTCTTGTATTCCTCTCCTCACCAATCTCCTCTTCCGCATCCAAAGTTATTAATTGTTTTTGCAGTAGGTGCATGTGGGATTCCTTTATTCACTAATGTCTACCCCTGGTTTTTGCATGCCAGTCATTGTGGCTTATTTAAAAAAGACAGTCACCAAGAGCCTTGAAATGGAATCAACCCAGGATGCTTTACATGAAAGAAAGTTATTATATCTGTTTTAGTAAACTCACTGACAATAAAGAGAAATAGGTGGCTTGTTAAATTACTGGTTTTCTTATACTTTCAGCTATAGTATAAAATATTAGATAATACTATTCATTGAAATGGAATGTATGTGTTAAATGTGGATATCTACAACAACTTCTAAGTGGAATATGGCTGCTCTTCAACAGCATATAGAAATCCTGCATAACCTTTTAGGACAGGAAATGAATAATACTGTACCAAATTGAAATTTCAGAGGGATTAAGACTCTCTTTCACTGATAAATTCAACACACAAATTTGTTTAATATAGTACTGGCGAAAGTGCAAGCATTTGATATATTTGCCATGCCTCCTAGATCAATTTAATCTTTAAAAAAAAAAATAGACTAAATGTTGTAAGATGTGTATTGCAGTCACATTCCTATTCCAAATCTCACTGCCACATTTTACAAGATTATACCCTTGAAAGCTTTTCTTGGGTGTTATGCATTCTCTGTGATGTGATGTTTGAGCCTCATCGTCTGAGAAAATTAAAAAGATAGAGCTGTCTGATAGAGGAAGTGGGTTGTGAACAATGTTTTGTATTCAGTTCTTAAAAATAGTGATTAAAAGAGCTGCTTTAATTATACAGTAGTGTTAATGAATTATTTCCGTATGTTTTGTCTCTATGACTTACACGTGTGGGTATAGTTTCAATGCACTCAACTGCAATTTTTCAAAAACACTAGATTAAAGTCATTGTAATCTGTAATTTTATTCTAGCTTTACGCTGATTTAAATGAAGATTTATCCAATAAAGTTGGAAATCTTTTGCATAAGCTGTGTATTTAGCTGCCAAATTATTTTAAAACATGCATTGATGGAATTTTTACACCCACAAGGGTTTGAGGGGGGGAAAAAATGCAATTTTTGATCTATTTGCATTGGGAAACACTAAAATTAAAAACTTGCTGAGTAGGTCATGTCCAACAAAATGACGTCTTCTGAAGATTTTTCCGTTTCTATAACTTGTAAAAGATGGCAGTGTGTTACTGGGTGGTGGCATTCTGCTGAGTGCTTCTCTTAAGGATCATTGGAAAGTTCTAAAGGAGAAAGGATAATGCAGAGGAAAATTAATTTGTGTGTTGTCCTAGGTTACAGCCGGGTATCTAGAGGCGGTACTGTTTTGATGGTCAACTGTGTTTTAATAAATAATACAGTTTTCTAGTGAAAGCAGTTCTTGAACTGGAGTGTACGTCCAAAGGCATGCTTAAATCTGTTCTGTTGTTCTCTTGGGTGATGGAGTTACTGTGTCCAGTATACCCTCGCTGATGCAGAGTGCCTCCCAAAGTATGCACCCAAAGTTGTCACTGCAAACTTTTTTAAATATTTGGAGATAGTTCCTACTGTTTGTAAGAAATAAGACATTGGTGACATGATTACTTTTTCTCTAACTTACTGTTTTTCAGTTAGAAAATCCAAGATATTTGCGAGAAAAAACGATGCCGATGTCTTTGGTACGTATTTATATTCCCTTGATATTTTATAAGGGTGAATAAACATGCTTAATATTTTTAATTTCTGGTTAGGATTGATTTTACTTGGAGTTACTGCTTTGAACTTAAGTTGTTTTGAACTTTTTCTCATTCAATAGATGACACCCAAAACTGGCCTAGGAAAAAGAAGCACTTTTCATGATGAACAGGTACTATTTCGAATGCACGAGAAAGAGGTAAGATTCTTTTTAGTCATTTTAGATAAAGTAAGTTAGGGCATTTTCTTTGGAAACTGGGTATTCACAAAACAGTTTGTTATTGCAGAAAACCTCGTGTAAGAGAATTTTTACTGAAGTGACAGGGCTTTTCATTAAATACTTAATGCATTTCCCAATTAATTGGGGAATAAAAAAGACTTTTGTAACATATTTACTGTTCCTTGAAGGAATTTTTGGTGTAGAAGAGTGAATTCTAGGAATTTTCCAAAGTACCCTTGATTTAGTGAGGATTTTTTACTTTCCGTATACCTTTAAAAATTTGCAGATTAAACCTTATTTCTGTTAGGGCCTACATTATTTCTGTATTTGCCTCATTTAGCTCCAATCCTCTTTCATTCATACCGGTTTTTGCATTGCTGCTTGTGAACGTTGTAAACTGGCAAGGTTACTGTCAAAGCTTGCCTGTCTAATTCTCTCATACAGTGTTATTTTATTTTGAATGGGTATAAAGTAAAGTTTTGTGATCATTTTCACCTTTTTCATAGTTTAAGGAAGATGTATGCCTATTATATTTTTATCATAACTGCTCTTTTTTTTTTTTAAAAAACATCAATCATGGACTAAAACTCAAATATACTGGGTTTAGCACATAGATATTTGTGATTCTTCTGAAACCATGTAAGCATTACTACTTTTTTTTTTCTTTTTTTTTTCCTTCTGGAAAGTCAGTGAATCAGTGGTCTGGTGGACCAGGCTTCAGGAAAAGAAATTTAACACGTATTAGGAAAACGATTAAAAAACCAAACAACCCAACAGTCTTTTCTTTTTGCCCTTTAAATTTCTGTTTTCAGCAATACGCTAACATATGTGGGTATAGCCCTAGCTATCCACAAGTACTTAGACCTACGCAGGACTCCAAATATGTGAGCTGGAAAGGAAGGGGCATCATCTGCAAACCATGAAATCGTCCCTCCTTTTCCATGGTATGTTGTAAGGACAGTTATGAGTTACAACTGTCCTAAAGTTACTTTCAGACACTTCAGAAGACATCTTTAACTGCGATACAGGGGAGGGTAAATTTGGTTTGCGGCTACTTCCATTGTTAATAAAATAATGTATGTGAAAGTCCGCTTTCTGTTGGTAGCTGGCAGTCTAATTTGATGCGTAAACACGCAGCCTGGTATGGCAGTTGCACTATACGTGTGCCTTTTACTTTCTTTGCTCTGGTCTAATATTGACTGTTCTTTTGTATTGACAATATTCAAAGCACCATTGCCTCAGGATGAGGCAAGGTTTCATAAGATGTGAAAACAGACCAAAAAAATAAATGGAAAGCACAATGTTGTCATTTAAATAATATTTTCAAATTAAGCAAACAGGAATGCATGCCAAGTAGCTACATAAAATACTCAATGAATACTTTGCTAGTTCAGTGGAAAAATCCTTTAAACCACACAGTAAAAATCCAGTGTTTTTTGCTAGTGGTAGTCGACTGTGGGCTAGTTTAAACTGGAAGGGTTATAGACAGTATTTCACAATCACCATGTGTGTGCTATTAAGTAGAAAACTTAAATGTGTTTTCATCTTGTTTTGTTTGTGAAGCTCAATTAAGAATAAAACCTTTTCATTTATAGAACGTAAATGTATTAACAGAAAAACAGTGCTGTACAAAAGAGGTTTGGTAAACCTTTAACTGTTTTCAACTGCTTTGTAGAAGAGTGGGAGAACATAAAATAGGATAACTGTGGTTTTGTGCTTTTAACCTTTAGACCTTTGTTCATAAACCATTCCTGCACCTGTTTTGACTCTGTAATGCTAAACACATGGCCATTTCCAATGATAACCACATCACAGATTTATGAAAATGTGAATGTCATCAGGCGGTGGGTTTTAGTCATATTTTCCCCAAATACTTCTGAGATGGATTAAACCATTTGGGAAACTGTCATTACTGAAAAATCATGGGTTCAAACAAGGAAGATGCAACAAAACAGGAATATATCAGTTTTCAGCAGTACAGCAAAACAGAACAGATGGTACGACTGGCTTATCTTGATAAATAGGAAAAAGCTTCCCTTTGAACTTCACCTTTGGTCATCCTGAGTGCCACCCAATACTCTACGGAGTGGAGGAGGGGGGAAAGGAAAAGTTCTTACTTTTCATTTTTCAGAAAAACAGAACCAATACCACCGCTAAGAAAGGGGTTTGAAATTCTCCTGGAATTAAAAAACAGATTTAGCTATGTTAATAAACTAATTGTTTGAGAAAGGTTAACAAAACATCATATTTTATCTGATGTAAGAAGTTTTGCTGTTTCTTTAAAGAAGTTCTCGTTCTTAGTTTTTCATTTTGTCAGGCTTAATTTTTCTTAGCATTTTTCTCAATTTCTTTCTGTTTTATTTCTGTAAGCAAAGATATTTATCTAGACTCAGCAAATGAAACCTAAACAAATCTGAAGCAAGAATATTGGAAATAATTTTCTCTTCTTATTCTTTGAAATTGGAGGTTGTAATTAACACCAGGAATAAATTTCTACTGAGCTATATACCAACTTTTAAATAATTTTTTTTTTAGGAAAACTGCCAAGTTTGCCTTGTGCAATAACTGTATTACGAAGCTTCATCTATCTGGGTTAACTGAGAACATTGAGCGTTTCCAGTGTTTTTGTTGACTTGATCACTGTGCTCCTGTCACTTTTCTGTTTTGATTGTTGGAAATCCAGTGATGAAGTCTTTGGACATGGGAGCACAGATGCTTTTCTGTTGTCTTGTGTACTAAAGCAGCCCGGCAGGAATGGTTGTCTTTCCTACAGTCAGCTGGAGTGGTAGTTAGTACAGTGCAACTGGAGTGGGGAGTAATTCTGGGGAAGGTGATGGGTGAATTTTCAAGAGGATACGGAATACCTGCAGGATAATTTCCACCTATTTGTCATGTGGAATGAGGAGTGAGGAAGAGAGTATGTGTCCAGGGAAAAGGAGAGGCGAGCTGGGTAGTGAAATATAACTTAGAGTGTAGAGAATGGGGAAAAAGACACCTTTTTTCTTCTGAAAATGCATTTTCATGGTTTGAGGACTGGAATTAAGATGAAAAGGAAGAGGGTTGGTTTTTTTTCCTGTATTCAAGAGTTCTATCTTTAAGGTGCAGCCTTTTAAAAAAGCTATTTAGAACCTTTATCTCTGTAATCTTTATTCATGTTTTTCTCCTTTTTTTTTTTTTGTGACTGAATACTCCCGTTTGTTGCATAACACATTTTGTTTATAAAGAGTGTCAGTCTGTGTATGTAAGTCTTACTGCACCAAGAGTGTTGGGATCTAGTGATGTATGTATGCTAAGATAAAATCAGCGTGCTGCAGTGATGATGTCACAGTTAAGCTTGGTCTGGCTAAAAGTGTTCCGAATTTAAGGTGCTGAAGGCAGCAGATTTACTGTGCTTCTCGCTTACTGGCAAGAGATTATAGCTTGGAGAGAATTGCATAAGGGCTGTGATATAGATTTTGCCCAAAAGGGACCATGCGTAGAATGCAGGGAGGAAAGAAAGTTGTAGAGCTTGGGAGGGAGAGTGAGTAACACCTGCTGGTGTTAATGTAGAAAAGAGGTGGGGTTTTAGGTGGGGGAAAAAAGGAAATAAAAGAGCACTTGAGGATAAAAGTATGTGTCTCTGTCCCTGCAGTTAGTAATGGTGATCAGTGAGCATTGCCCTTTTGGCTTTGTCTTCCTCTTCATTGCTGTTCTATAACACAGTATTTAAATGCATGAATGAAACGTTAAATGCATACCAAATTAAAAGCAAGAAATAAAACTAATATGGAGGCAGTATCCTAAAAGAAGGACTCTTGTAATTAAACTGAGCTTTTGCCAGTGGAAAATTAACATCACTGTGCTCTTAGCAAAGCCGCGGATTTGATATTTTTTTCTTCATTGAAAACAGATATTTTGTTCGTAACTTCCACAAATAGTGACAAAATATATTCATATTGTTCTCTTGTATGTTATAATGAAATGGAAGTGTTTACGTGCTCATGTGTATGTATGTCTAGAGTTTAAATCTGCCCAGTACATGGGTATAGATACATATGTGTATGGAATTGGGAGAGGAACCTCCTTAGGTGTGTTATGGGGCTGGTGATCCTGTTTGTGCTTTCTAAGTTCAGAGGTATTTACTAATAAGAGGAGGAAGGTGTTTTTGATGGACTTCCTGAAAGCATTTGAGTTGCAAAGGCATCTGTAGGTGGGCCCAAAACTTGCATCTTACAGTGACTGGAGCTTTGTGTGTTGGGGTGGTTTTTTTCTTCTGATCCCTCTGTTATTTACTTCCACTTCTCTCCTTTACCGTTCCCCTTCTCTCGTCACGCTGTTCATCCAGAACTGTCCAAGTCGTTCTTCTGCTCATAAATGTCTTGCTGTTTTCTAAGGGGTAAGAATTGTTAAGGTGTTTAATTCTGGTGAATGTTCTTGTTAAAGTGTAAGCGTGCATGTTGAATTCTGGAAAATGCAGAAGGGCAGATATGACATAATTATCGCTTTAATCTTGATTTTTTTTTTTTCATGCTTCTGTAACTTTTTTTTCTTATGACAACTTGGTTCTGAAAATAGTTTTATTTCCCTAAAAAATATTCCGAGCAGTGTGTATTGTGACTTTGAATATTCTCTGGTTCATTTGAATTTTCTCCTTTTATCCACAAACCTGATGTCTATTTTGAATGCAGTGTCTGATTTATATTGACAATCCAGTTGTAAACTGATTCTCACCACCAAGTAATCATTCTAAATAGTGATCTGTTAGTTCATGTTTAAAAATGCAGCAATCTTGACTTCTGTTAACATGGTTCCTGGATGATTAATGTCCTGTTCCTAAGAACATATGCAAGTTGTCCATTGTCTTCCGTGTGAGGAAATCGCATCCTGTCTTGCTTTGATAACTCTTCAGAATGTAATGTAATAAAACCCAAACCTTATTTTATTGCTAGGCAGGAGTGATACATACACTGTATGTCAGGATGAGACATGTTTTCATAAAC